GGATGAGTATCATAAGCGAACTGAAGGAATGACAGCTGGGCTCAGGGCTGGGGCCCGAGCCATTGGTGCGGGTCTCACACACCTTGCGGTACTTTGCACGTGCGTCCTTGAACCGTTGGCTCAGGCTGCTAATGCGATCCTGCACCAGGTGCCACACCAGGTAGTTCTGCATGGTCCTGGGGGCGGGGCAGAGGGCAGACAGGACAGGTGAGGGGAGACAGGACAGGTGAGGGCGGACAGAACAGGTGAGGGGGGACAGGACAGGTGAGGGGGAGTCTGCATGGTCCTGGGGGCAGGGCAGAGGGCGGACAGGCAGGTGAGGGGTATTTGCTCGGGGAGGGATATTGGTTATGGGAGAGAGGTGGGCACAGCGCCTGGGCGCCCAGGACACCAGCCCCCCCCACCAGAGAATCGCCAAGAAACAAGAGAGAAGGTGCAGCCCAGCTGGTGTGGCTCAGTGGTTGAGCATTCACCTAGGAACCAGGTGGTCACGGTTCGATTCCCGGTCAGGGCACAGGCCCGGGTTGTGGGTTGGATCCCCAGTGTGGGGCGCGCAGGAGGCAGCTGATCCATGATTCCCTCTCATCATGGCTGTTTCTCTCTCCCTCTCCCTCTCTGAGATTAATAAAGATATAATTAAGAAGAAAAAAAGAGGGAGAGAAGGGGCCGGTGCTCAGGATGAGGAGAAAGGCGGTGACATAACTGCAGAGCCGACGGACGGGGAGCCGGTGCCAGAGTATGTTTGAAAACTCAACAGAAATGGAAAGACTCCTGGGGAAGCACCATGTAGCCAACAGGACTGAAGAAGCAGGACTGTACTCAGTGCTGCAATAGCAACCCCAGTGCACTGTGCCTCTGGCAGCGGCTGGATGTCGCCGCCCTTCACCAGACAAGGGGGTGAGAGATTCCGCAGGGCTTGGAGGGGAAGAAGCCACACGTTCCTTCTCCCCACGCTGCGGTTCGTGTGCAGACGCCGCGAACTCTAACGGAATCGACAGGGGGTTGGAACCGCTGCCGGGCATCGAGTGGAATGCCCTGCAGGAGCCCATGTTCTGCATAACCAGCCACAGGCGGGCACGTGGCGAGGACACCATCCGCAGGCGTGTAACCAGCGAACCAGGGAGGCGCCTCATGAGAGATGTAGCCGGCCTCGGAGCAGAGAGTTGGGCAGCCCTCTGCGGGTGGCAGGGAACGGGAGCACACGGACTGCATGTGGTTCAGGGACCGGAGGCCTCAGCAGGGAGACGTCCGTTTCCCCCAGATCGGCCCGTAGAGCCGAAGCAGCCTGTCAGCCTCTCCGAGGCTGGCGTGTGGGTTGGCAAGCCGACTCTGAGTTTTTAAAAATTGTATTTGTATTGATGTCAGAGAGGAAGGGAGAGGGAGAGAGAGGAACATCAGTGAAGAGAGAGAATCATGGATCGCCGCCTCCTGCACGCCCCACACTCCGGGTTGAGCCCGCAACCCGGGCCTGTGCCCTGACCGGGAATCGAACCGTGATTTCCCGGTTCATAGGTCGACGCTCTCCCTGAGCCCCGCCGGCCGGGCCTGACTCTGAGTTTTGTAAGAAAATGCAAATGACCATAATGCTTAAGGGGACCCGGGAGGACGGAGTGGCTCGACTTACTCTCTGGACTATTGGGAATTCTCCTAGAGCTGCAGCCACGGGCGTGGGGGCCGGCCCGGGGCAGACAGAGACAGTGGGACAGACAGCGTTCACGCACACACACAGGTGCACACACACAGGTGCACACACAGAGAGGTGCACACACAGAGAGGTGCACACACACAGGTGCACACACACAGGTGCACACACACACAGGCGCACACACACAGGCGCACACACACAGGTGCACACACACAGGTGCACACACACAGGTACACACACACAGGTGCACACGCAGGCACACACACAGGTGCACACACAGGTGCACACACACGTCCCACAGCCATTTGAGTCGGAGCAGAGGGGCTGCCCAGCAGGCCGGGAGGGGTGCTTTTCCATAAATGGCGCCGGGTCACGCAGACACGGGCGGGAAGGGCGTGATTTCTGCTTTGCTCCCCATGAAACCCACACCCAAAGCTGAGCGGCCACCCTGGGGGGAGGGGGCGACAGAGATGTCTCACGCAGACAGCACGGCCATGAAGAGGGGGTCGTCTTTGCTACATCGACTAGTTTGAGCCTCTGACCTGGTCTGTCCCGCCTCCTCCTCTAACTTGGCCCCTCTGCACCCTGGCCCTCCCCCCTCGGACTTGGCAGCTGGCGGTGGCCGTGGCCGGAATGCGTCCCTGCCCCTCCTGCAGGAGGCGGCCCCTCTGGGCTCAGCCAGTGGTGGGGTCAGTGGGGGCCGAGGGTCTGGTGTGTGGGCAACGCCCAGTGAGGGGAGGCAGAGCTCTGGGAAGCCGCGTTGGGGTTCAGAGCAGGACTTGGGGGGTCCCCAATTCAGCCTGTTTCCTGCTCAGAACCCCGGTCGTCACGGCTGCCGGCGGCGTGGCCCGTGCTGCCAACAGCCCTGCTGACGCGCCGTCCCGTGGGGCCGTCCCTGTTCGGGCG